CATATAAAACCTCAATTTTATTTTTCATCAGAAAAATGTAAACTGTAGACACAATGTATTATTACCATACCCCAGCCAGAATGACCAAAACAGTAAAGAAGGAAAAAAAATTATAGACTACATTAGAGATTTCATTCTTCCTTTAAAATTGTGGAGCATATTTTTCTGCTCCTTAAATTTGGATTTTGCCATGTGATTTGCTTTAAAAAATAAAATGAATAACAAGTCATAGTATGATCTCTTGAGACTAAACCTAAGGGAGTTTGGGTTTTTGTGCTAGTCCTCCAACACTTTTGCCATCTCCATGAGAAGAGCTTCTACTGTGTAACCACTTCTCACTCACCCTCTAGTCTGTACCCCTGAATAAACATAGCTAGAACAGACCACATGAGTGAACCCCAGCCAGAATCACTGTTTAGAACAGTTACCTAGGTGAGCCAAATCTTTACCTGATGCCCCTAAATCTATCAGCACATGTATGATCGATAATATTAAACTGTCGTTTGAAGTCATTGATTTTTGTGGCATTTTATTTTCCAGTTGTCAGTACTAAATGTTGATGAGGAGGTAGAGCTAAATTACTACCAGCTGTTGATGGTAGGCGTGAAAATTGGTAGAGCAATAAAGACAATCTTACTCTATTTAATAATATTCTATTTTTCTTTCAACCTATAAACTCCACTCCAGAAATGCAAACATCTATGTACGAAAGTTCCCACAGGATCAGTATATAGGATATCAAGAAGTGAAAACAATATTATATGTGTGTGTGTGTGTACATACATATAATTACATCCATAGATGGGCATACTCTAGGTAGACAAAGGAAAATAAATGAAAAATATCAACGTTCATTCAACAAAATGAGTGACTTACAATTATAATTTAGAACCAACAAGATGAACACAAAAACAGAACATACTATTTGATTCAATTCATACAATGTTCAAAAGTTGAGAAATTAATGTAGGTTATAGAATGGTGTTTGGAGATTGTGTGAGCTTTCTTTCATTATAACAAATACCCGCGATAATCAACTGATAAAAAGAAAAGGTTTATTTTGTTTCTTAAATCTAGAGGTTCCAGTCCAGGATCAGTTGGCCCCATTGCCCTTAGGCCTGTAGCAAAGTAGCACATCATTGTGAGAATGTGTGGTGGAGCAAATGCTCTCGTAGCCAGAAGGTGAAAAGGAGAAGAGGAAGAGACTGGTTTCACAATCCCCTTCAAGGTATACATTCAGTGAACTAAAGACATCTCAGTAGGCCCTGCCCATTCAAGTTTTCACCACATCTCAATAACACCAAGCTGGGGATCAAGCCTATCACACATGGGCATTTGAGTGATATTCCAGATCAAAACCATAGCAAAAAGGTAATGATTGCAGGGGAGGAGTTGCAAAGAGATATCTAGGGTGCTGGTCATGTTTTCTATCTTACCTAAGTGGCAGTTATATGCAAAAGACTTTATTTCATAACAAATGAGGAAGGAGTATATTTAGGATTTGGGTAGTTTTCTGTATTGTTATACTTAAATAATTTTCCAAAAAAACAAGCAAAGAGTCGAAATATCTCTTTTTATATACTGACATAACATGGCATTCAACATATAAGCAAACATATCACTGACTCTAATTCCCTTTAATTTTTAATTGGCCTTCATATAGCAACTCTCTGAGGCAATTCAGTCACATAGCTAGCTAGGATCTTTTCTAGTATATGCATATTGCCATGGCTTTCAATAAATCAAACTAACAATTCACAGTGATGTCTGATGCCCTTATATCCCTCTCCACTGGAAACCACACAAGATAACTGGGGGACTATTACTGTTCCATCCTCAGTCTTCCCCATATCAAACTCATAGTAGACAAACATGGTTTTATATCAGGTTCTTTACTTGGATGTCAAGTATCTCAAAATATTAGCATACTGTGGGAGCAACAGAAATTGTTATATGTTTGTTAAACTTGATTGTTCTATTACACTACAAAAGGGAAAGGTCTTCCAAATATGAAAGAAATGTCATGTATATGTACATTCTGTTTTTATAAAGCCTCCCTCCCTTTGCTATCCTTGTTCAAGAAGCCCCATTTCCAAGTTCCCATCCAGTACCTAGCTGCTTTTTGCTATAGAAGCACTATTTTTGAAAAGAGAGTAAAGTTCTCCTTTAATCACTCTCTACCTTCCTTCAAACCAGAGTGTCTCCAATTGCAGCTAAATGCTAAAAGAAATTCTCATTTGCAAGGATATCAGCGCTTCTGGAGAGGGCATATACAGACCTTGATTCTCCCAGAGAGTGAAGCTGATTGTTCTTATTACAATTCTGCCTCCCCACCAGCCAGAGGCAAAGCTGATTTTCTCATTTCTTTCCCAATTGGTATACATCATGTTGAAATATACTTTTTATTGAATTAATATGATAATTTATTCTCAAATGAGCAAAGAATATTTGTCATGCAAACATGAGTTGACTTTGCAGTCCTTAAAACAATAAACAAATACAAAATATGCCTATGTATTATTTTACTAAGACTTTCCTAAGCCTGCCTTACACTATAAGAACTGAGGCACCAAGCTCTCCATTTACAACCAGGGAATTTGGTGCAAGCTCAGTTTTATATTCTTTTGCAATTCAATTTCTTTCCCTGATTGAGGTATAAGGATAGGGAAGAGGTTGGTTTGTAGTTCATTTTGCAATGTCTTTTTTTTTTTTTTTGAGACAATC